CTTGCCCAGCTGGACCGCGCACATCACGAGGTAGGCGTTGATTTGTGGCCTCACCTTGTCCAAGAAGTTTGCCTGCCGCGCGCGCGGAGCTTGGCACAAAGATGTGCAGAAATAGAAAACGAGAAATATTGTCGGGCTGCTGAAATAAGGAACGGAAAATCAGCCGGCCCCCTTGTGGGGCCACCAGGCTGTAGGCCGGAAGTTCGCAGTTTCCTGTACCAGTTGCAGCTTCCAGTTTCCACTGTTACAGTTCTGCTTCTTGCTGCTTACTGCTCCTTATTACAATTCTGCCTCTTGCTACTTATACTGTTCCTTGTTGATGGACCGCGCGAGGGGGGGAGGCCAAAAACAAGCATTGTTGACACGGCCAAAATGTATTGTCTGAATTGCTGGGGTGGAAAAAATTCACACCCCTCACGCAGATCGGCGGGGTCCGGGTGCAAAAACACATGGGATTTGCCACTTCTCTTAAGTTCGGTGGCACCCCTCACGCAGATCGGCGGGGTCAGGGTGAACAAATACATGGGATTTGCCACATTTCTGAAATTCGGTGGCACACCTCACGCAGATCGGCGGGGCCAGGGTCCAACAACACATGGGATTTGACACATTTCTGAAATTCGGCGGCGCCCCTCACGCAGATCGGCGGGGTCAGGGTCAAAAAAAAACAGGGGATGCGCCACATTTCTGAACAAAAGCAAAGTCACACCCCTCACGCAGATCGGCGGGGTCAGGGTCCAAAAACACAGGGGATGTGCCACATGTTTGAAATTGCCTGACACCCCTCACGCAGATCGGCGGAGTCAGGGTGCAAAAACACATGGGATTTGCAACTTTTCCCAAATTCGGTGGCACCCCTCACGCAGATCCACATTTCTAAATTTGCTGACACCTCTCACGCAGATCGGCGGGGTCAGGGTCCAAAAACACATGGGATTTGCCACATTTCTGAAACTCGGCGGCACACCTCACGCAGATCGGCGGGGCCAGGGTCCAAAAACACATGGGGTTTGCCACATTTCTGAAACTCGGCGGCACCCCTGACGCAGATCGGCAGGGTCAGGGTGCAACAACATTAGGGATTTGGCACATTTCTGAAATTCGGCGGCACCCCTCACGCAGATCCGTAGGGTCAGGGTGCAAAAACATAAAGGACTTGCTAGATTTCTGAAATTCGGCGGCACCCCTCACGCAGATCCGTAGGGTCAGGGTCGAACAACAAACAGGTCCCGACACTAGTTCACGGCGAAGCCAAAGCCTCATGACTTCGCTCTTCCATGGCCCATTCTCCGAGAGAGGGGGTCGGCGGCAGGGGGCGAAGCCCTTACGGATAAGGAACGAAGCCCCGTTTTGGCCCCAAATGCGCTTGCGCGCACGAGGTGGACGAGGAACAGCCATGAGAGAATTTAGGGAACATTGAGCCTCTTCCGAACCCAGACAGTTCCTGATTTCAGCGTCCCGGCTGTAGAGAGAGAAATTGCCAATGCTCGAAAGCGAGAGAGAGAGAGAGAAAACAAAAAAAAACATCAAACAACACTAGACAGAGAGCGAGAGAGAGATAGACGGAGAGTGGCGGGCGAGGACGAGGCGCAACGGCCAGGGGAGGACGAAAAAGGGAGGGTTGACTGGGGAGGCAGAGGTGGAGAGGTGGGATCTTGAAACATATGCAAAACACCGGCAGAGCGAGGGTTGCTCATCCCGCCTCCTCTCCACCTCCGCATACTCATCTCTCCGCAACATCCTCCTCCTCATCCCTCCTCCTCCTCCTCCTCCTCCTCCTCCTCCT